CAGAGGCTGATATGGAGAGAGATAGCAATGACAGCTAATCCATGCAGTTGCAACCAGCCATCCAAACCACTCAGGAATGCTTGCGTAGACTTAGATATTAAGCATCAGAGCATGCAGGGGATTGTGGAAGCATGCACGATACATTTCTAACTGTCAGTGTGGTCGTGCAGCATGGTGCTCTGAGCACATTCCACTTGATGCACTGCCCTGCTGTATTATCCCAGACCGAAACAAGCAAACGGTAACGCGGTGCGTGCGAGCTAGCTAGTGCTATGCTGGCAGCGAGGCTCGGGCTAGTCCCGAAGCGTAGGCCGACACAGCCGGGCCAGCAGTGCGAGGTTTGGCAAAACAGTGCGCGTGAAGTTGGCGAAGCCCCATTAGCAGTAACAGGAGAACAACGGCTGTTGCTGTACGCGATGTAGTCGGGCTCCGTAAGGAATGCCGAGAAAATTCCTTACAGCAGGATAATCTGTTCTGGGGCTGGCACCTCTTACCGTGACTCTTATGTGTGGCCTCTCCCAACCCATCATCAACCCATCCCCGCCTCCACTGCTCCGTCTTCCCCCTTCCGTCCACCGCGCTCCACTCAGGGCCCGGCGATACAGCTTTCTGTCAGCGTCGCCCTCCACAGTTGGCGCAACACCGCCTGCAACACAGGTACCTTGTCTCTGTTCTCCCCCGTTCCTCCTCTGTTGCTTGCTCCTTCGCTGCTCCCCTGATGCTCTCCTTGGTGCTCCTCCCGTGTCCCCTTTGATTCTCCTCTCCTCTGTAGCCATCCAAGCACACAACAAGGCGTCTCCCTCTCCTTGCTCCGATAAACATATGCTCCTTCCTTTGAATTTCCCCCTTTTCCTGGTTGTTTTCAGAGTGGAGCGGGCGGAGCATCGTCGGGGCGGCAGAAGAAGCCGAGCGGCAAAGCAGCAGCACAGCAGGGTCGGTCGGCGTGCAGAGGAGTACCAGGAAAGAGGCGATACCTTGATGCATCCAAACCCTGCCCTTTCTTCGCCCTTCCTTTCTTCCCTGTCTCTTCAGAGTGGAGTGAAGCAGAAAGCAGGAGCGGGCAGAGCAGCGTCAGGGCGGCAGAAGAAGCTCAACAGCAAAGCTGCAGCCATGCAGGGTCAACGGGCAGAGGAGTACCGGAAACTGCGCGCATTCTTTCAGGAAGTAGACGAGTTTGAGATGGAGGAGGAGGAGGAGGAGGAGGAGGTGGAGGAGGCGCGGGAGCAGGCGAACAAGTGGGTGGATAAGGGGAGGGCGAGGGACGAGGGAGTGGAGAGTGTGCTGGATGCGTTTCAGGGGTGGTGCTGGTATGTTCCGCCTTCAGGGGATGGTGGTGGGCAAGAGGATGGGGGAGGGGGTGGGGGAAGGGATGGTGGAGGAGATGGGGGAGGGGATGGGGAAAGGGATGGGGGAGGAGATAGGGGAGGGGGTGTGGGAGTGGGGAGTGACTGGGTGCCGGAGTTTATGGCTAGGGAAGCTGGGCTGTTGGGTGCACTGCGTAGGGTGGATGAGGGAGGGGCGGAAGGGGAGGAGGAGGAGAACGAGGAGGACGAGGAGGAAGAGGAGGAAGAGGAGGAAGAGGAGGAAGAGGGAAGAGGATATTTTGAGGAGAAGGCAGGAAAAATGCAACAGGAGGAGGAGGAGGAGGAGGAGGAGGAGGAGGAGGAGGAGGAGGAGGAGGAGGAGGAGGAGGAGGAGGAGGAGGGGGAGGAGGAGGAGGAGGAGGAGGAGGAGGAGGAGGAGGAGGAGGAGGAGGAGGAGGAGGAGGAGGAGGAGGAGGAGGAGGAGGAGGAGGAGGAGGAGGAGGAGGAGGAGGAGGAGGAGGAGGTTACCAGGGCAGAGATCTCATTCGACGCGTACCTCCACTCACAGCTCTCCAGCCTCAAGCTCTCCACAACCGCTAGCCCAAGCGCACTGGGCAGCACATTGAGAGGCGGGGAAGGTCCGGTGCCAGCAGCAGCTTCAGAGCCAGAAGAAGGAGGAGCAGGCGATGTGATGCCTAGCAGAGCTGTAGGAACTTTTCCCAGCGGTGGGGTAGGTGTGGCTGCCAGCACTGCTGTTGGTGAAAGCCGGGAAGGGCAGGCATGGGAGGAGGGGGACACGGTGGGTGGAGGCGAAAGGTGGAGAAGAGAGGGCGGAGCAGAGGGGCAGGGTGATGAGAGTACCGTTGTGCAAGGGCGCTGGGGCGCTGGAGGTGGGCGGTTAGAGGAGGAAGGCGGTGGGACGAAACCCGAGAGTGGCTGTAACAGAGGTGCCTTTAGCGAGCTGTCAGTAGGGAATGAGTGTGTGGGAGAAGGGAAACAAGGGCAAGGGCATCGACAAAGTAAAGGGGAGGCACACGAGGTGTCGTCGAAGGAGGTGTGGTCAGAGGATGCAGGTTCGAAAGGGGTGAGTGAGCTGGCGAGGGAAGAGACTTTTGAGTCTCAAGAAGGGAAGACGAACGAGGTGTGGTCAAAGGAGGTGTGCTCAGAGGATGCAGGTTCGGAAATAACAGATGAGCTGGAGAGGGGAGCGCCTGAGGTGGTGCCTCATGGGTTAGAGGCACTGCACAGACTAAGGGAGTCGTCTGGTGGTGGCAGCACTCTGCTGCAAGATTCTGGGGACTCTGCTGAGGGCATGGGCGTGGGTGTGGGCAACGCAGAGGACGTGGTGGATCTCACTGGGTGCAGCAGTGACGACGACTCTGTCAACTCTTATCACTCTGACGGCTCTTCTGACTCTGATACTCCTGGTGATGGTGAAGTGGACGATTCCGCCTGTGCTCACGAGGACGGGTCAGAGCTGGAGAGAGGAGTGAGAGGGGGATATGTGGAGCGAGGCAAGCACCAGAACAGGCTACAGGCGCAGAAGCAGATGCAGCAGCAGAGGCAACAGCAGAAGCATGGGAGGCAGAGTGTAGGAGCAAATCAGCCGAGCCAGCGAGTCCTGAGAAGCAGCATGCGTCGAAACACGCTAGCCTCTGGGGCTTTTGCCGCAGAGGTTACCACTGGCGCCGGTGGTGACGCTGGTCTAGGAAAGAGGGCCAACATGGTTGCTGCTGGCCATGTTCGCGCTGATCCTGCGTTCTCTCCTGCTCCTGCTCCTGCTCCTGCCCCCTCTCCTGCTCCTGCTCTCCCTCCTGCTCCTGCTCCCACTCCTGCTGCAGCTGCTGGTGATGCGCCCGTTGCTCCGCCAGGGCATCGAGATGCACGTGCCCGCCATAGCATGAACAGCCGCCGCACGCTGAGGAGCAGCTTGGGTGGATCAGGAGGAGGGGAAAGAAGGGGTGCTCCTGATGAGAGCAGCACGCGTGCAGCACGAAGCACTGGCCGCACAAGGACCACGCCTGCCCGTCAAGGCCGTCAGGAGAAGCAGTCTTGTGGGAATGGAGCTGGACGTGCGAGGATGGGGCATGAGGAGGAGCGGGAGATCGGATCCAGGGATGGGGGTTTGGGCTGTGCTGCTGACGAGGTGCGGGAGATCGCATCCAATGATGAGGGTGTGAGCCGTGCTGCGGAGAAGGTGCGGGAGGTGTGTGGTGTGGTTGAGAGGGGTGACGAGAGGGCAGGGAGACGTGAGAGTGAAGGGCTAGTCGAGAGTGTTGCTGGTTTGAGTGGGAGAGTCTTGCATGGGGATGGTGTGGGAGAGATAGAGTGTGTTGGAAAGGAAACGGCAGGAGAGGAGGGGGATGAGGATGTGGTTGAAGTGGATGAGAAGGTGGGTACACGGAAGTCCACAGCACGTTCAAAAGCAGAAAGAGCAGGTGGAGCAGAGAGAACAGGAGGAGAAGAGGCAGGTGGGGTGCAGGCGAAGGCATTGACAAAGGCAAGGGGTAACGGGAGGGGCAAAGGGAGGGGCACGGCGGGGAGCAAGTCGAGTGGTGAAGGGGATGAGGGGCAGCAGGGGGCAGAAGTGGCAGCACAGGGTGGGCACGAGAGACGAGAGCGTGGTGCTGACACTGTGTCAGGCAGCAGCAGCATTGATGTTTCAGAAGGGAGGGGCATGGTGGGGAGCAAGTTCAGTGGTGCAGGGGATGAGGGGCAGCAGTGGGCAGAAGTGACAGCTGAGGCTCGGGATGAGGGACGAGAATGTGGCTCTGACACTCTCTCAGGTAGCAGCAGCATTAATGCACGCTACAGCAGAAGGAGCTGCAGCATTGGGGCTGGGAGCAGCGTTGACTGTGGAGCGAGCAAGGAGAGAGTTCCACGGGCAGACGAGCAGAGCGTGAGGGAGAAAGGTGGTATCGGTGGCGAGGATGAGGGTCAAAGAGAGGAGGAGGGCGGTGTAGGGGCAGAGGTGGAGGAGGAGGAGGAGGTGGTGGAGGTGGAGGAGGAGGAGGATGGGGATGAGGTGGTGGAGGTGGAAGAGGAGGAGAAGGATGATGGGCTGCGTGCATTGCTTGCTGCCTGTCGCCAGCCACACATGTGCTCCATGGAGCAAGCCATCACGCAATTCTGGTATGTCACCTTGTCCCCACGCCAGCTTGCTGTAGAAGCATCTTTCCCTCTCTTCCAAACACGTCCGCCTTATCCTTACAGAAGTATGAAGCTATGTCTCATGTCCGTCCCCTCCCTCTTGACATCTCACCTTCAGCTCTTTTTGTCACATGCCAGCAATCAGAACACCCTTCGGAAGATAGAAGAGGGTTGTTGAGGCGCGTCAGAACTTGTTCCTTCCCCCTTGAAATCTTATTGTTGACTCTTTTTTGTCACGTGGCAGCGATCTGATGACCATCCGGAAGATGGGGGAGGGAAGCTTCGCGGAAGCGTTTGCAGCAGAGGGAGCGGAGGGAGGCGTGTGCCTCAAGATAGTGCCAGTTGGGGGGCGAGTGCTGGTCAACGATGAGCCGCAGAAGGTGAGAGTGGGTGCAGTGCGGTGAGAGATGATGCTGCTTGGTGCAAGTGGGTGCAGTGATGTTGCATGTTGAGGAGGGAAAACTAGAGCGCCTCAAGGTAGGGCCAGTGGGGAGTCGAGTGCTGGTGAACGATGAGCTGCAGAAGGTGAGTGTGCTCCTCTCTTGGTCACTGCTGCGTGGTGAGAGTGGATGAAGTGAGTTGAGAGGCGGTGCTGTGTGGTGAAACTGGGTGCAGTGCTGTTGCACGTTGAGGAGGGAAATTGAGATAGTGCTGGTGGGAGCCGAGTGCTGGTTAACCATGAGCCACAGAAGGTGAGTCTGATCTGCTAATAGGAGTGTATTTCAAAGTCAAGAAGGAGTGTGTCTCCTTTAACTGGAGTGTGTCAGAGTGTCAAAAGAAGGTGGGTCCAGTCCAGTGCTGGTGAACGCGTACAGAGCCAGTCAAGGTCGTCCCGGTGAGAGTCCATCCATAGCATTGTGTGGTGCGGAGAGACACAATGCTAGCCGAGACACAAGGGATAGACCTGCATTTATCGCCTTGTGTCTCTGCTCCTCCCTCTGCTCCTCCCTCTGCTCCTCCCTCTGCTGTTCTGGCTTCTCCTCGTGGCCCTTGTGACTCTTCTCCTCGTGGCCCTTGTGACTCTTCTCCTCGTGGCCCTTGTGACTCTTCTCCTCGTGGCCCTTGTGACTCTTCTCCTCGTGGCCCTTGTGACTCTTCTCCTCGTGGCCCTTGTGACTCTTCTCCTCGTGGCCCTTGTGACTCTTCTCCTCGTGGCCCTTGTGACTCTTCTCCTCGTGGCCCTTGCGACTCTTCTCCTCGTGGCCCTTGCGACTCTTCTCTTCATGGCCCTTGCGACTCTTCTCCTCGTGGCCCTTGCGACTCTTCTCCTCGTGGCCCTTGCGACTTTTCTCCTCGTGGCCCTTGTGACTCTTCTCCTCGTGGCCCTTGTGACTCTTCTCCTCGTGGCCCTTGTGACTCTTCTCCTCGTGGCCCTTGTGACTCTTCTCCTCGTGGCCCTGGTGACTCTTCTCCTCGTGGCCCTTGTGACTCTTCTCCTCGTGGCCCTTGTGACTCTTCTCCTCGTGGCCCTTGTGACTCTTCTCCTCATGGTCCTTGCGACTCTTCTCCTCCTCACCCGCTCGCTGGCACTGTGGATTGAGATGTCTCATCCTCCTGGTTCTTCTTCCCTTCTCATGATCCTGGTTCTTCTTCCCTTCTCATGATCCTGGTTCTTCTTCCCTTCTCATGATCCTGGTTCTTCTTCCCTTCTCATGATCCTGGTTCTTCTTCCCTTCTCATGATCCTGGTTCTTCTTCCCTTCTCATGATCCTGGTTCTTCTTCCCTTCTCATGATCCTGGTTCTTCTTCCCTTCTCATGATCCTGGTTCTTCTTCCCTTCTCATGATCCTGGTTCTTCTTCCCTTCTCATGATCCTGGTTCTTCTTCCCTTCTCATGATCCTGGTTCTTCTTCCCTTCTCATGATCCTGGTTCTTCTTCCCTTCTCATGATCCTGGTTCTTCTTCCCTTCTCATGATCCTGGTTCTTCTTCCCTTCTCATGATCCTGGTTCTTCTTCCCTTCTCATGATCCTGGTTCTTCTTCCCTTCTCATGATCCTGGTTCTTCTTCCCTTCTCATGCACTAGATTGTTCCCATCTCTATGCCAAATGTGTTGTTGTGGTGTGTCATCGGTTGGTGGTGACGGATGCATGCATGTGCGCTATGGCATGGGCCATGGCACAGCACGGCATGGCTGGGTATGGGCCATGTGTATGGTATGGGCATGTGTATGGTATGGGCATGTGTATGGTATGGGCATGGGTATGGGCATGGGCATGGGATGGGCATGGATATGGCATGGATCGGGCATGGGATGGGCATGGGCATGGGCATGCACGAAACAGAGCATAGGAGAGATGCTGGCGGAGGTGGAGGTGCAGATGGCTCTGCAGCGGCTGCGGCGTGGCCACGGGCACGGACACAAACAGGGCCATCAACGTGGAGATGGGCATGGGGATGATGGGCATGAGAATGACCTGATACACTCAACGACCTCCTTTATTGACTGTAAAGGGTACGTGTGTGTGACTGTAACGAGTATTTGTGTCGCTCTTGGCCCTGGCAGTTGACTCAAAAGCAACTGCCAGCATGCATACAGCCTCATGCCACAGAGCATCTGTTTTAGCTCTTGACCAGAAGCAAAATCGGGGTGCATGTGCGCAGTGGGGTGCACCCACCGTTTGAGTCGATAAAAAAAGGAGACGAGAGCGTGTCCTTGACACACAATGTCTTCTGAGAATTCTAAAACGAGCACGAAAATGAGGCCTTGGTACACCCTTCCCACCTTCTTGCCATTCTCTCCTACCACGTGTCCTCTCCTCCCCTATCCCCCATCACCTGTGTGGTTGAACGAGCAGGGTGCGCATGTGCAGGGGGGTTTACTCGCCTGTGCTCGTGCGGGCATGGGAGGAGTGGGCAGATGAGAACGAGTCACTCAACGACCATCCAGGCATCTTCCTTTCTGACCAGGTGATCTGATCACGGCACATGGCACTCCATGCTTCTTCTTCACTTCCCCTGTGACCAGTGGATCGTGGCAGTTCGTTCTCTCTTAGCTTCTCAGTAATCAGGTTGCCGTGGCACTTCACGTTTCTGAGTTTTTCAATCGACCCAAACTCCTTCCTGTGTGATCAGGTATGTCATGGCGCTTCAGTCATGCTTTTCAGTTTGAATGAAGCTCGTTTCGTAACTTTTAACAATTCTCAAAAATCATGGCGCTTCATTCACGCTTTTGAGTTTGAATGAAGCTCGTTTCATGGCACGCATCATGGTCGTCTTCCTTTCCTTCCTCTCTCCCGCCCGACCCTCGGACTGGCAAACCTTGTCTGCTCCTTGAGCTGGTTGGTTGGTTCCAAACCGCTTACCATAGCTGACTAACATAAGCTCGTTTCGTCCTGAGCAGGCATACGTTGTCTTTATTCTGGAGATGGGCGGCAGCGACTTGGAGAAGGCTCCAGTGCGTTCCTTTGATGAGGCACGCAGCATCCTGCTGCAGGTGAGACGGTGGAATGGTACTGCTCTAAATCAAGCTATACTGCTCGACAGCGTAGTGTAATTCCAGTGGCATCAGCTGCAAGTAAGGCTCTCTCAAGTGCGCTCCTTAGATGAAGCACGCAGGTGAGGCGGATGGGGCAGGTGAGACGAGTATTGCTGATTGCTGCTGCAGGGACAACGAGTGGAGCAGGAGCAAATGACGGGGCATGTGAGCATGTTTCGACTGAATGACTTTTGAGGCGCCTCAAAAGTCATGTGAGCATGTTTTGACTGAATGTTGCCCGTAATGTTTCGACTGAATGTTGCCCGTAATGTTTCGACTGAATGTTGCCCGTAATGTTTCGACTGAATGTTGCCCGTAATGTTTCGACTGAATGTTGCCCGTAATGTTTCGACTGAATGTTGCCCGTAATGTTTCGACTGAATGTTGCCCGTAATGTTTCGACTGAATGTTGCCCGTAATGTTTCGACTGAATGTTGCCCGTAATGTTTCGACTGAATGTTGCCCGTAATGTTTCGACTGAATGTTGCCCGTAATGTTTCGACTGAATGTTGCCCGTAATGTTTCGACTGAATGTTGCCCGTAATGTTTCTCCATTCCTGTCATCCCTCCCCGTCTATGTGTATCTAACGCCCCACCTCATTGGATCCCTTTCCACCGCAGTCTGCTGCACTGTCCCTCAATTTGCACTAATGCCCCACTTCACCTGCCACCGCACTCTGCCCCTCTGTACCGCGTCAACCCTACCACAGGTGGCAGCAGGGCTGGCAGTGGCGGAGGCAGCGTGTCAGTTTGAGCACCGCGACCTGCACTGGTACGCTATGGTGTGGTGTGGTGCTGTGCGGTGTGGCTGTGGTAAGCAGTGGTGTGGTTGTGGTACGCAGTGGTGTGGCTGTGGTACGCAGTGGTGTGGCTGTGGTACGCAGTGGTGTGGCTGTGGTACGCAGCGGTGTGGCTGTGGTAAGCAGTGGTGTGGCTGTGGTACTGGTATGCTGTGGCGGTGGCGGAGGCAGCGTGTGAGTTCGAGCGCTGCGCCCTGCACTGGTGGTACGTTCTGTGTGGCAGTGGCACGCTGCGGCATTGCCAATGAGTAGCGGAAATGGTATGCTGTGCAGAGTGGTCGTGAGGGTTTGTCAAATTCAACACGTTGGTATGTGGCATTGACCATATTCATTCAACTCCCTTTCTCATGCTCCCGCTGCCCCAACCCCATCCACGCAGGGGCAACATCCTCATGCATCGCACAGGCACAGTGTGATAAGTCGAGTTTTGAGTCGACTCAAAACTCGACTTATCTCCACGCAGGGGCAACATCCCCATTCATCGCACAGGCACAGGCGCCTCAGAGGGCGGGCAAGGACTGGAGTTTTGAGAATTCTCATTCATCGCACAGGCACAGGGGCCTCAGAGGGCGGGCAAGGACTGGAGTACCACTCACAGGCGCGAGCAGGCAAAGGCCCTGCACGGTTGCAATGCACTATCCGCTCAGCTCCCCTCATCGCTATCCCCTCCCATTCCCCAAAAGCCTACCCTTCCACCCACCCACCCAGGGGCAATGTCCTCATTCATTGCACACAGACAAGCGGGCCCCAGAGGGCAGGCAAGGGCAGGAATACCAGTCACAGGCGCGAGGGGGCAAAGGCCCTGCTTGACTGTACTGCATTATCGGCTCAGTGGTCATCTCTATCTCCCTCCCTTGCTCCAAAACCCTAACCACCCACCGATCCACCCACCACGCAGGGGCAATGTTCTCATTCATCGCACACAGGCGAGTGGGCCACAAAGGGCAGGCAAGGGCAGGAGTGCCGCTCACAGGAGCGAGCAGGCAAAGGCTCTGAGTGACTGCACTGCGAGCATGAACAGCACTGGGAACAGTAGTGCTTCCAGCAACGTAAGCAGTAACAACAGTGGTAGCCGCAAGGGAGAGGGCGAGAGCGGGCAGTGGTTCAGGCTGAACGGGCAGCAGCGGAGCTTCCATGACAAGGGCGTTCGTGTGGCCATCATTGACTTCTCCCTCTCTCGTCTCCAGTCAGGTGCCATTCTCTCACAGCCTTATCAGACTTGCTTCTCTTCTCTGGTTCAACTGCATCTGCATGCATGCTCTTGAGTTCCTTTCCTCAGAATAATTGCTTAAAAAAAAAAAAAAAAAAAAACACACACACACACACACACACACACACACACCTAATCGCCCAAATGAGATTTCCTGGTTTGCCTGGAACCAAACTGGTGTGCTCGTGCGGCAGGTGCTCGAGTGCATTTCAGCGACCTCTCCCAAGAGCCATCCATTTTCCAGGGCGATAAGGGCCACCCCCAGGTGAGTGCTGCTCCAGGTGGGTGCTGCCCCAGGTGAGTGCCGCCCAGGTGGGTGCTGCCCCAGGTGAGTGCCGCCCAGGTGAGTGCCGCCCAGGTGAGTGCCGCCCAGGTGAGTGCCGCCCAGGTGAGTGCTGCCCCAAGTAAGTGCCGCCCAGGTGAGTGCTGCCCCAAGTAAGTGCCGCCCAGGTGAGTACCGCCCAGCAGTGCCGCCTCAGCCCTCAGGTGCAGTGCTGCCTTAGGTGAGTGCCACCCCAGGTGCAGTGCCAGCCTCCAGCCACAGCAGGTTCTACTTTCAGGCTTTATGAATGCACAGGGCCATTTGGCTCCTTTCTTTGTGTCCCCGCCTCTTTTTCCCTTTGTAACCAAGGTGCACAGTGCTGCTTTCCATGTCCGCCTGTAGTGCTTCCCTAAATCAACAATCTTGCTCCCAACTACTGAATCATGCGGTGGTGTGCGGTGCTGTGTGGTGGTGCGCGGTGCTGTGTGGTGGTTCGTTCATAACTGCAGTTTGACACGTACAGAGAGATGAAGAACAAGACCAAAGGACGCTGGGATAGATGGTAGGTAGTCGTTTCGAGGCGCCTCAAAAGAACCAGGTTTGGTAAACAGCATGCATTGGCCCCTACAAGCTGCATGCCTTGCTTCCATAAATCACCCTATCATGTTGTTAACACCCCTGTGCTTTCATCCCTCACCTCTCCTTGCAAACATGCACATCCGCGTAAGTTGAGTCGATTTTTTAGTCGACTCAAAAATCGACTCCTTGCAAACATGCACATCCGCGTGAGTTGAGTCGATTTTTTAGTCGACTCAAAAATCGACTCCTTGCAAACATGCACATCCGCTTTCTCAAACCTACTCCTTCCTCAGCGTCACTCGCACCCGCTGCCACTCAAAGCCAAGCCACCATGCCTCCCCTCATCCTCCTTCTCATCGCTCTCGCCCTGCCTCTCTGTGTCGTCTCTTTTCCCTCTCCCAGGTGTCCTCAGACCAACAGCCTCTGGCTCAAATACTTAGCAGAGATGCTGCAGACGGGCAAGAAGATTGTGAGTTGTGTTGTGTGCAACTAAGCAATAGTGGGGATGTGTCGTAGTGATGTGTATTTGGAATTGAATGTGGAAAGAAGGGGTTATTGCGGGGAAATTAGTTTACGGTTCTGGATGACGGCGAGTCTTTGGTGAACAACAGCGAAAACCGGAAGATTTATGGGAACGGATCCCTTGCTTACCTATTCCCCTCCTTCATTCCTGTTTTTGTACCGGTAGCAAGCTCCATGCGCCTAACCTATTTTCTGCAATTTCGTTTCAGCGCTTCAAGGCCAGCGAGAAGAGGGCCATCATCCAGTTCAAGGAGCGCATGGCTGCATGCCGTTCTGCAAAAGCTGCGCTTGATGATGAGCTCTTCAACAACCTTTGGCGCTCCTAGAGTTATGGGGAAGAATAAAATCATCTTAAGTGAAAGGTTGGAAGAAACGTGAATGAATTGGGCAAGTATGGACTTTGAATTTCAGAGTTTTAAAGGGTAGCTCTGTGTTAAACCTAGTCTTCGGGCTATATATGATACGGTATGTCTGAACTGAATTTTTTTTTTATATAATTGTAAGTGTACACCGACAAGACAAGCAAATACTGACAAGAACGGTCGTAACCGTGCGTGAGGAACTAGAGGGGACCTCTTGCTCCAGATGAGATTCTAGGGTCTGATGCTCCTGACCCTCCTTGCCGACCAGATTGCTGCAAAACCATTCGTCCACTTCAGACCTTTGCCATCCACTTTGATCCTTTCAAGCATGTTCCACTCCTCCGATGAACCACGCTGCCTCTGTTTTCGCCACGTCGGCCCGAACTTGTGAGTGTACAGTTTCACGTGCTGCCGAAAAGCCACCTCAATCCGACGTAGGACCCGTTGGGACCGGAATTTCTGCCCTCTGAAGACAGCTTCGCACCGCTCGAGCCACAGTTGGTGGAAAGCAATTGATGTTAGCGTCAGCTCCGGAAAAGCTGAGCTGGTGCCGGTATCCCGGAACAGAAGAGCCCCCAGCGAGTCTGCTGTGCGGCCAGGATTTAACATGCCCAGAGCGCGCCGAAGAGCTGTAGAGACCACTTGAACTCTGGGGCAGAGGACCAGGCAATGTTCCAGTGTCTCCGGCTCTCCGCAGTAAGGGCGAACCGGCTTGCTGCCGAGGAAAGCCAGACGCTCTCCCACCTGCAGATTTAGACCGTGGATGCGTGTGAGCACATCGCGCAGACGGCTGGGAACCGCCAAAGAGTCGTACGTGCTCACAACCTTCTTCCAGTTGATGCTCTCACCCCATCGTGCCGCCCACTTGGCGCGCTTGTATGACTCCTTCTGAGCCTCCTTCCACCCTTCTTTCATCCGCTTCATGGGGATGATGCCCCCATCCACCAGGACGTTCAGCAGCTGAGGAGAGGCAGCCGAGCAAGGGAGGACAGTTGGAAACCCTAACTCTCTGTACCACCCGGCAGGGAGAGAGGCTACTGCCTTCAGCGCTAGCTTCGCCGGACCGTTGCTGCCCAGAAGCTCCGTTAGTTCTGCCACAGATTTCTGCACAAGCACTCCTGCTTCACTGCTTGTGAACAGATCCTCCAGCCGCAGGTCCCACAGCTTCCTGGCGTCCTTCTGACCGCCGATAGGCGTGGTGTCGCGTAACAGAATATTTTTGTTGAAAACCACCCGCTCTTGAAGAATTTCATTCCTCGATGTGGCCGGGGCACGCAAACACAGCGGCGAGCCAGCGAGGCTCTCACACGTCTGCTTCCACCGGACGCTGCCGCCTTCCCAGTGCTTGAATAATTTCTCGTGCGCTGCAAAAGAGTCCGTACCCAAAGGGAGCTTCGCCGCCCGCATCATCAGGTCCTTTTTTAGTATGTTGCTTTCCGTGATGTACAGCCCTGCCCTTCGTGCTGCCAAGCAGGTAATAACAATCTCAGGGTCCCTCACTCCGATTCCACCCGCAGCTCTCTCTGTGTACAGCAACACTTTGCTCCAGAGAAAAAAGCCTTTCACCGTTGACACCCTGTTTCCAGATGTAAACCCGTGTAACATCCGCACCAAGTCCTCCTAGATGCTTGCAGGTGGCGGGAAGACTTGGGCCTGAAAAGCAATAAGCGGTGTGATCTAGTAGTTCACCACGGTTGCTTGTGCCGCTGTAGTCAGATACTTCTGCTTCCATTTTACCAGCTTCTCAGCAATGCGCTCCAGCGCCTTCTCCCATGTTTTCTGACCATTACCAGAAGGAGTCACCCACACCCCCAACAGGCGCTCGGCATCCTCTGCTCCCGCCCATTTGAAGCTAGACATGCCATCAGCCACAGCACCGATGTTCACACCCAAAGGTAATATCACTGATTTTCCTTTGTTCGTAGCCAGCCCCGCCACTTTCTCAAAGTTATCCAGAATCTCCTCCGCTTTGACAATCTACTCTTTTCCCTGCAGGATTAACGTCGTGTCATCAGCATACCCGAGGTAACTGAGCTGCTGCCCTTTCTTACTGAGCCCCAGCTTCTCCCTCTCCACTTCCTGAGCCAACGGCTCCACCGCACACAAGAAAAGGTAAGGTGCAAGCGGGCAGCCTTGCCTGACCCCCGAGACCACGTTTAACCCTTCACCAAGCCAGCCATTGACCAGGAGCTTCGTCGTGGTGTTCTCATGCAGGCCTTCAATCCAGCCTACGTACTGCTCCAGGAATCCCATCTTCCGAAGCACTTGGAAAAGGAAGTCCCTCGACACCGAGTCGAAGGATTTTTGGAAATCAACCAGCAACATGTACCGGTCGGCCTTTTCATTCTTCGCCACATCGATGATATCTGCGACCAGCGCAACTGCATCCGACAGGCACCTTCCTGGAAGGAACCCGCACTGCTCAGGTGAGATGACCTGATGCAGAATCCGCTTCATCCGATCCGCCAGGACTTTAGCTAGCACCTTGTATGTGAAATTGAGGAGGGTGATGGGCCGGTAGTTGTTCAGCTGGTCCCGATCCCCATTCTTATGCAGCAGGATTGTGACCGCCTCCTTAAGCTCTGCTGGAAGAGAAGCTGACACCTCGAAATCTTTAACCATCGCCATGAAACTCCCCCCCAGCAGGTCCCAGTGACACTCAAACAGTTCCTTCAGAAGACCGTCACCTCCAGGAGATTTGTTCCTCGCCATTGAAAAAAAGGCGGCCTTCACCTCTTCCTCTGACCACTCCGCCATTAACATCTCCTCTGCTTCTTTCTGTCGAGAGTTGAACGAGAGTGTAAGTTAAGTTGAAAGGTAGGGCCTAGGCTTAGGAGCCTAGGCCCGAGATGAGGTGTCGAGCGGGTTTCTCCTAGGGTGGGTATCGAGTGAGTTGGAAGAGAAGTTGGGAGAATGTGTCGCTTCACTATAGTTTCGAAGTACATATAGCAAAGGAAACACATAAGGTGCACCACCAAACAAAGTTTAAATAACTACACTAACTACAGCTACAGGTAGTTACAAATATAAGTTGTGACACTCCCCCATAACTGCCTGCAGCAGGAGTATGTGCAGAATACAACCTGCAGGTGTACACATGCAAAATAATAAAAAGCAAGCAACAGCAGGTAATGCATGCGGGCTGACACTAGCTGGTCACCCCCTCCATCTCCTCACCCTCCTCCTTCCCCTCCCCCACACTGCTGCAGAAGCAGCAGAGAAGGGGGGAAGAGAGGAGAGGTGGAGGGACGGCTGCTTGTTGCCTCACACCCGCCACCCCGGTACCACTCCCCCTGCTCCCCCACATCCTCACACCCTCCCCCCCAGCGGCAGCTGCAGCGGTGGGACTGAAAGAAGGAGGAGGGAAAGGGAAAGAGTTGACCCAACACTCCAACACCCGCCACCCCCATACCCTCCTCCCCACGGCTGCAGGGAGACAAAGGAGGAGGGGGGGTGGGCGGGAAGAAAGCCGCAGAGCGGCTAAACGATGTCGGCGCAGATAGGTCAGGGGCGGCTTCAGGGAGAACAGGGGCGGAAAGGCCCGTCGCGTGCCACGGGGCGCAACGACGGGTAAGTTAAGAGAAAGGGCCCGACCGTGTGCCACGAGGCGCACGACGAGCAGGGCACCGTCGCGTGCCACGGGGCGCACGACGAGCAGGGCACCGTCGCGTGCCACGGGGCGCACGACGGGCAGGTAAAGGGCACCGTCGCGTGCCACGGGGCGCGCGACGGGCAGAAAAGGCGTCACACGCCAACCGGGGGCGGGACAAGGTAAAAATCGTCACGTGCCCTAGGCGCGCGACCGGAAAATCGTAGCAGCGGAAACGTGAGGCCAGAACGAACGTCGCTCTGATAACATGTCGAGAGTTGAACGAGAGTGTAAGTTAAGTTGAAAGGTAGGGCCTAGGCTTAGGAGCCTAGGCCCGAGATGAGGTGTCGAGCGGGTTTCTCCTAGGGTGGGTATCGAGTGAGTTGGAAGAGAAGTTGGGAGAATGTGTCGCTTCACTATAGTTTCGAAGTACATATAGCAAAGGAAACACATAAGGTGCACCACCAAACAAAGTTTAAATAACTACACTAACTACAGCTACAGGCAGTTACAAATATAAGTTGTGACACTTTCCCCAAACGCCTGCTTGGGTTGAAAACCCAGTTCGAGAAGTCTGTTTGCCGGTCCTTGCCGAAAATATTGTTGAAGAAAGCCGACTACCACCTCTAGGGGATATCAAGGATCAGAAGCAGTGAGAGTGACAGGGAGCACATGTTAAGCAAAAGGGAAGAAGGTAACACCACAGAGAGGAGGAGCACTATGCAATGAGCCAGGGGCAATACTCCGAAGGTGTCGATGGTACCAATGAGCAGGGAAGAGGGAAGAAGGAAGGAGGGTAGAAGGAAGGAGATGCGGGAAAGGCCATAAGGTGGGAAGAGGTAAGGGAATTTCCGAGAGCTGTCGCAAGTTTACGAAGCTCGTACGGGAGTGTACATAATGTATATTTGTACGGGTAGTCGAGAGAACATGTACTGAGGATAGGGACCGAGGCTCGGATGATGGCTGGGCAATGTTGGGCTGCCGAGTCAGCAGACAGTCGCATGGGGAAGCGGGGAAGGAAGACAACTGGATGGAGTTTTTGCTTTGTGTGAAGAGTGCATGCTTTGTTTCCTTGCAGGTTGGATGCCCGAGCCAGCTGGAGTTACAGGCACGAGCTGGAGGTCAAGCAGTGGGGCGGCTAAATGGCAGTGGCAAGAGGAGGAGAAGGCTGACCTTTCGCTTCGGTGGGAGGCCATCCCCTTCGAAGGGAGTGAGCGGTGTAGCAATAGGGGGAGGGTGCAGGATCGGATATAGGGGGTACGGCATTTGACTCTGTATTGTTTGTATGTTCTGTAAATACTCATGTGATTGCCTCAGAATCATGTGTGAGTGAGCGTCAGGCCATAACAAACCCTGGAGATATGGAGGAAGTGATGTTGGTGGTAGTCGTTACTAGATGTGAGTAAGCTGAACGAGCTTATCACAAACAAACAATCTTCGGCGGTACTAGTATGCGCACACGAGGAGGGGCTGAATACGGCTTAGAAGAAGAAAACGAGAACGCGAAGGCGGCGGCAACTGGACGACCTGGAGTGATGAATCGGGGAACGGACATGGGGGTTGATGAGCCCCGGGACGATGGCTCGCCAAGACGGGACGCAGAAGGAGCGGATCGACCAGAAGGCGAGGAGAAGGAACCCCAAGGAGCGGCAAGAAAAGATGCACGATCGGAAGGAAGACCGATGCGTACGGCAGGGGGTGATCGTTCGACCGGCTCTTATCAGAGGAGCGGGTCATGGCAAGAGGATGCGTCCGCGCAGCGATGGAAATATACGCTGCTACCGAAAATTGAAGTCCCCGAGTGTTTTTCTGGCGACACACGGCGAGGTCCGACGATTAAAAACTACATGATGCAGTTGGATAACCTGCGGGCCCGGTGGGAACGAGATCGGCTGGATCCAGAGGAGTTTTTCAGGGGACTCGCCAACACTCTAACCGGCGAAGCGGAAACTTTCTATCGCCTCAGCAGGAGAGAGTTGGTGGAGTGGACGGCGCGTGCAGCACCAGGAGAACGAGATCCGACAACGCGTTTCTTGAGTATGCTAGAAGACCAATTCCCAGCGCAGACGCCAGAGAGGGTAGCGGAGTTCAGGGAATTTCGCCGTCGCACGGGGGAGTCGCTATTGGCATACTACGGCAGGCTGGTGGAACTGGCAGAAGATATGAGCTGTCGAGACACGAGTCGGTTGGTCAGCAAATTCCTGAACGGACTGCACTATGATCTACGGCGAGACGTGGCAGTCCGGGTCTTCGAGATGGGGGCACAAGCTACGCTGAAGGAGGTCTACGAGGTGGTGAAACGGGTGGAAATCGGTCGTCGGCTGTGTGAAATTGAGACAACTACGGAAAGAGGAAGCGAGCGGAGGAGGCCAGCCTGGGCAGCGACACCAGTGGAAAGAGAGAAGCCACCACGTGGGGCAGGAGATGAACGGCGCTGCCACAACTGCGGCTAGATAGGGCATTTGAGGAGGGATTGCCGTAACCCGCCAGCCTGTTCCACTTGCGGGAGTGAAGATCATCTAAGGAGAGACTACCCCGATGCACCGACGTGTGACCATTGCGGAAGAAAGGGACATCAAGGGAAAGAGTGTTACGCCTCACGGAGGGAAGGACGAATAAAGAAAGATCCAAAAGAAGTGAAGGCACATATCGCTCGTCTACAGCGGCAGCTGGAGGAGATGGCCGGACCAGAACAAAAGGGTAACGCAATGTTAGCAAGGACGGAGGAAGAAGATGAGGAAGGAAGCGGGGCCAGCTTCGCGCTAATGGCACGTCCTGTGCGGGAGAGGGGGGGACTCGGGTTACGAGCACGACACCGGTACTTCCCGCGAGAAACCCTAGTGCGGGAGCAAGGACCAAGGAGGGCCACCACGGAGGCGAGAACCGCGGGAGCCGCACGACGCCATCCCCTGGAAAGGATGGCATGTCAGCCGTCGGTATTGGTGGTGGAACCGGGGGTGATGAGTGTGGGTGGCGTCAGGGTCAAGCAGGCGATCGTGGATACCGGAGCGCATAATGTGTTGATTGGCGCGCCAATGGCCAAGCTGCTGGGATTGGACAGAGAGGACCGAGTGATACCCAAAGGCTACCTGCTGATGACCGCAGAGGGGGGCACAGCGAAGTGGATGCCGAAAACCCGCAGCACGGTGGAAATCGTGATCCGGCCGGGACATCAAGATGAGTGCATAGTGCGGATGCACTGTGGAGTGTCTACATCAGAGGACTACGATCTAATGCTGGGAGTGGAGTATTTGTTTGCCATCGGCACCACCATCTGCATGTGGGAAGAGCAGCTGAAGTATCGGGTGACTTATTGGGAGCACGACAGTGAGCTGGCGGAGCTACCGGTGCGGTTCATCAGAAGGGAACCGAGGGAGGCTTATCAAGCGATGGAAAAACCACTAGAAGAGGAGCTGGGCATTATGATGTGGAAGGAAATGGGGCAAACGGAGTCTGCCAGAAATCAGGACGAAGAGATATGGGGGGCTAGTGATAATCTGCGAGAACCTGTCTTGAACCTGAGAGCACTCCAGAAGCCGTTGGTGATACTGGAGCTGTATGGCGGAATAGCCACCGGACTGGCGGCAGTGCTCAAGGAAGGACACACAGTGGCCAAGTTCCTATACGTGGAGAATGATGGCGGCGCAAACTTGATGGCCTGGCACCATCTCAAGCTGCTCAAAGCCAGATATCCTGAACAGCTAATGGAAGATGCGGCAGAAAGAGGAGCAGAGTGGCTATGCAGTGGAGTGGATGAGATTGATGATGGCATGCTAGCGGAATGGGGACGGATTGATCTGGTAATCGCGGGGTGGAGCTGTCAAGGGCTATCACGAGCAGGGAGGGGCCGAGGCATGGAAGACGCACGGAGCGCGCAATTCAGAGACCTGATGCGAGTGCTGAAGACGATTAAGAAGCAGCAAGGGGAGGTGGCCTACATCATCGAGAATGTGGACATGGCTGACGACCCACGTCCGGCGATACAAGCAGCCAACGAAGAGATCACGGAGGAATTGGGGGCAGGAGTGGCGTGGGATGCGGCACAGAATGGGAGCAGAGCACATCGGCCGAGGAGGTACTGGCAAAACGTGGTGCCAGAAGCGGCGCTGAGATATCAGCTGTCACAGATGGAGCGACCAAAGGCGAGACGGGTGGAAGACATTCTGGAGCCAGG